TCATCCAGGAGGTGGCGGACACCTACGCCTTCATCGCTCGCTGTCTCAAAATCTCATGGGTCAAATAACGGGCGTCTCCTGTCGACGCGTGCGTGCATATTTGCCCCCAATCTATTGCCCCCCCCCCTCCCTCGAAGAACTCCTTCTGCACTTAATTGAAAGAACCACAAGCTAATGTGCAAAAAGGCCATCAGTGTGGGCGGGGTTACAATAATCATCCAATCAGTTGCTGTCATGAGGCTCGAGTGTGACAACACTTCACGTGGCGGATGCTCCGCCTGCGTATTTATTATTGATATTCTCACAAGGCTGCATCGTTCAAATGAATTTTTCTGTGTGTGTGTGTGTGTGTGTGTGTGTGTGTGTGTGTTTGTATGTATGTATGACACCCCACAAATTCACTGATTTCTACCTCTTGACCTAGGCTGATTGTTACCATTTGAAAGGGAGCAAAACACAATAAACTTTTTTTTAAAGCAGTGAGAAGTCTGCTGGGTGGTTCTTCTCCAAATGTTAACGCGTAAAAAGGGGCGTTAAAATGACAGAAATGAATCACTGCATGTGAAGGGCATATAAAATAACATTTCACAAAAAAAAAAAAAAACGAAGCGCATTTTACTGAATGTTTTATTTCTGTGGTTTGTACCAATTCACAAATTGTCAAAACAAATATTTCCACACTGACAAAAAAAAAATGACAAAGCTCATATTGTTGACAGTGATGCTTTTGACTGATTGTCACCAGTTACATACGGTAAGTGTTGGAAATGGCATGTTACTTGTGCTTTACCTTAATTTCTCATCATCTCCTGTTGGATGTTATTACATTTACCTTGAAGAATATGTTTTAATGATGCACTTCCCTTCCCTTCCATCCGTCCATCCAATTTCTGTACCTTGCTAGCATGTGAACAGGCATCTTGGAATTTGAATTCCATCCAGTGTCAAATTGTATAGTTTTAAAAACAAACAACAAAAAAGTGTCCACTGTTTCACGGCAATTTGACAATGGTGTTGGCAAATTTACTTAAACAAATGACAACTGGCAAATTAAGAAAAAAAAAAAACGGAACCATTTCTCTGACCAGCATAAGGCAACTTTTCAAGACCTGGCCTCGAGGTGGCGCCATAGAGCACAATCGAATTCATGGATGGGAGTTGCAGCACCTGGAAGCAGGAGGATTGTGTGGTTACAGTATTTTATTTGATATTTACCACGGTTTTACATTGAAGTTGTCACGTTTTAACATAACTTTGACCATCCATCCATGCGTCTTAACAAAATGTGCATGTCAAAACGTGATAACGTTCATGTATAGCAATAGATTGATACTTTTTTTTTTTTTGTCCTGGTGTGGCAGCAATTCGCTTCCGGAAATTCTACATTTGTTTTTTAATTTTATTTTGCCCCAACTGCAACTTTAAAGTGACGACGCCGTATGCGACCAATGGGGGCGCTATTTCGTTTAATTCCGTCTCAATGCACAAAATGTGTAAAAAGAGTATGAATGGGAAATTCAAATACATGCAAAACAACCGAACTACACATGGTGAGTTACGCTTTGGGGAGGCAAAACAACAAAAACAAAACATAACAAACGTGATATTTACTTCCATGTGTGAGGTAAGAGGAAGGGGAGCGTGCTGCGAGGTGCTTTCAGGGCAACATAGTTATTTTGCATTTCGTTATCCGCAAGCAAGTCCCCTATACGGACTGCGTCACTGTTAAAACATTAGTCATATTTGTAGATGTACAATAAAAAAAAACAGGAGTTTTTTTTTTTTTTTTTTATTCAAGGCAAACCGCCCTTTAAAAGAAAAAAAATCTTAACAAATGGTACTGTCGTGGTAAGCCGCTGCTCATCTTACGTTCCAATGTGACGATTAAATATTCATGCATGGAAAATGTGTTTAATTGCAGACGGCCAGCACAATGCAAAACGCGGCTGGAACGTCCAAGCGAATTCGTGCACTTTTATTCGCTTGGCAACAAGCTACAAGGAAGATGTCGGCACCATCTCCTGCAGGTAAGTCACTTTTATCATTTACAATTATACTCCGATGGAACAAATGTGCTTGGTTTCGGTAAAACACCACAGACTCGTCGAGATAGTGCTCAACTTTACGTGTGTGTATTTAAAGGTGGTTTGGAGGAAGCAATCCAACACCAGAGAGACCATAATCGATCATTTACAAGATTTGTGGGGCTCCCTTTCCTTCCAAACAATTTAAAAAAAACATATGAGGAATAAAAGTAAGTCTCAAGATGACGTACTCACCTTTAAAGTTGAATATTATAAACAACAAAAATGCATTTAGTCAGCCGGAAGTGGTTATTTTGTGTACCATTATGCGCATTTTTTTTCGGCTCGCCGGTTCATTTTTTTTTTTTTTTGGCTCGCTGATTTGCCCTAAAACGCCTCTTCGTCCTATGACGTCACATATTATGCGTTCGCCTAATAATCCCGTTTAATCCTGTTTGTTATTACGATTTAGTATATGAGGAAAGCGTTTCTTTCTCTCTTTTTGGTGGCGTTCGGCCACTTAAATCAAAGTCGGTTAGCGGGGGCGGGGGGGCGGTTTAAATAACTTCCCGAGTGGAGCGTTTTCTCAGTTCACCTTCGCAAAATTCAAAAAGTTCCAAATATCAAGTGTGATTTCAAACGGTCCGTTTAAAGTACTGTATTTGTTTGAAAAATTGTGAATGTGCAATAAAGTTTTGAAGATACACACGGTCAAATACGTATCCAAGCACGGCGCATGCGTGGTTTCGTCGACGTATGCATATTTTTCGTTGCTTCCAATTTGTAATCAACGAAATCTGACAAGGTGGCGTGTGAAACGGCAGTGAAAAGTTTTGTACGAATAAAAAAAAAAAAGTCACGCCAGAAGTTGACGCTCATCAAAACGGAGACAGTTATCAGAGCTTTATGGTTAAAATGAAAAATAAATATTTATATAATCAAGAAAGTGCACTTATTTCTCCCTGGGGAAAATGGTCAGCTCGGATTAGAAAGACTCGTGAGAGCGAGCTACCTGCTTTGCCCCCCTGAACTGTTTACACATCTCTTGTGATGGATGTAAGAAAGTTGAAGGATTGGTGGCTGGAATGCATGAAATAAGTGACAAAAACAACCCCCCCACCCCCTTTGCTCACTTAAAAAATGAAAAGCGGGAGGCGAACTCAATGAACCCCTTTGAACTGCATTGACAGCAAGTGAGGGTCGAAAAGACACATTTCCTCTGGGAGCCTACCCAGGCTTGCCTGCATGCATGTGGGGGTTGGGTCGGGTTAACTGGGGTGAGGGAGGTCAAAGTTGGAATCGTAGTCAAGCAGCTCAGGAATCTCCCCATGTGCCCCAATACTCACTCGCTAAAAGCGGACATCTAACAAGCACTTTGTATTAGGTGACGTCACCGTATTATTGGTTCTGGTTTTTAATTGATAGAAATAAGGAACAACTAACGTATGATTGTTAGAGGTGCCTTGTCTCAGTAAAAAATGGTGTATATCTGGACTATGTTACTAGTAACCCCCCCCCCCCAAAAAAAAGCACTTCATGAGCAATTAAGACATCAAACTATATGTGATGAGAACCATTTTAAGTTTTGACTCTTGCTTGTGTGATATAACAGTTTGTAAAAAAAAAAAATAATTGAATTTAACTTTCCGTACATAGATATGTAGAAACAAAAAGCAAAACGGAAGCACATCGGTTATCATTCATTTAATTGAATTAAATTGAATTTCTCCTCATTGTTCAGCAAACTCAACATTTCAAGGGAACAAACTTTGATAGAATTTCAAGTTGGGCAATACACCAAAGTTTTTTAAATTGGCTCATGTCAAAATTGGCCTTCCCGCATTTTCAACAATAAAAAAAGAGAGAACTTGTATTGTCCCCAACTTAAAAATAGAACAAACAACTCAGCAAATTTTGCTTTGTTGTGCTATAAATGTTAATAAATTATATTTGAAAGTTGAGCCATCTTAAATGACTGTTTTAGCCCCCAAAATGCACTTTTTTGTAACAGTGTAGTACACATTTTTCATGAGCTTTGTTAACAATATTTGTGAAAGAACAAAAGAATGAATGGCATGTATCCTTTTTATTGAAGTGAAGTGTATGTATCGAATAATTTCAAATATGTCAAGACTAAATTCAAATTCAGTCTGATGTCACGATGCACAAATCATTGATTGACTTGCGTGTCCTCAAGAAATCCTCATGAAATTGAAGTCTGGAATCAAGTTTGTCCCCTCAAGCGTCAAAATCGGGCGAATCAATTTAAATGACTTTTCATTTGCGAAACATTATATAGCGTTATTAAAAATGGCCTCAACGTGTCACAAAGCTTCACATTAAAAAATAGCTTTTTTTTTCAAGCACCGTTTGGTTCAAACTAGATTACAAACAAAGAGTTTTATGCAGTGAGAAGCGGTCTCCAAAAGTTGCCTTCTTCCATCAGCAACATCACATCAAACATTGGTTTCCCCAATTAAACATTGCCTCCGCGTTTTGTTTGAGCGCCCCCCCCCCCCCCCCCCCCCCCCCCCCCCCTCTCTTTTTTTTTTTTTTTTTTTTTTTTGACCGGGCCCACCCAGGGCGACCCTCGACGACGACTTGCCGTCGACGTGATGATGAGGACGCGATCCCATGTGACACTGGCATCCAGCCCTGCGACCCACACAGTAATCGTCTGGCATCCTCTAAACCAGGTCTGCGTGTGCGTGCGCGGGGGCCCGGCCCGGGGTTGGGCCTAGGCGGGCTCAGGCCCGGGCCGGGGCCTGACTCCATGTGTGTGCGTGTTTGTGTGTGTGTGTGTGTGGGCGGGTAGTTGGCCGATGGGGGTTGAACTTGCGAATTCCGGAGGGTGGGCTTTCAAGGTCTATGGCGAGTGGGGATGGGCTTGTTGTTGTTTTGACTCTCCCGTTCCTTGTAGCGTGTCCCACCTCCTGGTTTCTCCTTGCACATCTTGAGGAACACTCGCACTCGATTCTCAACGGGCGATAAGACCGGCACCGTCTGGCAAGCGGACGCCTCGTTTCTGCGCTGACCTCATCCAATTTACGCATTGACTTTCTCCTGAGCGGGATGGGCAACTTTAGCTTGAGAGCACCTTGGCTTCAATTTTTGGGGGGATTTGCAAGTCGCAAAAAAAAAAAAAACTACCAATATACAATCACGGTCAATTTAAAAAGAAAATTTAATCAATATATTATGAATATACAACTGTCTAGCAATTGCAGCACATCACGTCAAATCGCACATGCTTGAACTTAATCTGCAGCCAATACTTCTTGTCGCCCCACAAAATTCTTAATTTCATTCACCCCATACAATAAACAGTGAATATGAAGTGAAAGTTTTGCGGGCCAAGGATCGATTTAAGAATGAAAGGCGACGTCAAACGAACGTCACCGTGTTTTTTTTTTTCAGTCCGTTTGGTTTTTCTGGGTTTTCCCGTCACATTCCAGAGTTGTGAGTTCAGCTCTCCACTGCAGTGCCCACTAAAAAAGATACAAGGAGCGTGCTGAGCGAGTGCAAAAACAACACGCAGAGCACGTCAGGGGGAAACGGAGCAGATATTTAGGGAAGGAATTGAAAGGAAAATAAGCAATAGGACGCTTTGGGTTTTCCTCGTTTCCTTTTCGGGGATATATTAGCCCCAATAACAGTATGACATCCTTAATCCTCTCAGTTCTTGAGTGGGTGTGCGCACGCGCGGGTGTTTGCAAGTTCCAGCCACCACATTGAAGTACTTTTGTGAGTAACCTGTGTAAGTTCAGGTTCCGTTTTTGCATTTGAAATCATTTGAAACTGGTCGCTGAATGGATAAGGGTGATGAGCCCGCGCCCTCATTGATTTATTTATTCCTTATTCTCCCTTTTGGGGTTATAATGTACATGTGGGAAGACACCAGTACGAAAAAAAAAAAAAGGCTGATGGATGACTCTCCCAAACGCTTGGCTCCCTCCAACTAGGCACTTAACGCAAGCCACATTTGGAGGCATGTGGAATCGTTCCGGCTTGAGCTCAAGAAAAGCGTGTTTCAATTAATCGCCATCTCCTTATTTGCGGCTCTTCGTTCGGACAGATTTTCAGTTTGCTTCAGCAGATTATACATTTCTGCGCAGTGATGTTGTTCAACCTTTTTGAGTCATCATTAGAATTGTTTTGTTTTGTTTTTTTTTTTGTAGTGGTGACTGCTATTGTCCCAATCACCCCTTTGGAATCTTGAGAGAATGCTGTGGTCTCACATTCAGAATTGGGCTGTCTAGAGTAAATATATTTTTTGGGGGAGGCGGTTATTCCATCAGTTAATCAGACAAAATGTTATTTAACACGAAAGTGTGTCACAGAGGCACTCCCCCCGCCCCCCAATTTCTGTTTATCAGCAAATTCTTGTCATTTGGTGGTGTTCATTGATGAGGGAAAAAAAAAACCTCAGACGAGAGGAATTGATGTGTTGTTACTGGTTAACTTTTGGGAAACTGATTCAGTTGCTTCGTTCAGTGTTTTCCAAAGTAAAAGCAGATGTTTGTCTTATTTTGATTCGACACAGGAGCTCATCGGTCTGCTTTCACGAAAAACTGCAGGAATCTAAGAGTAATTACCGTTAGGACGCAAAAATTAGAGGATGTGGACACCTTTTAAGATTAAAATAGTTGTCGATTCATTTGATAATTGATTAGAGGTTGATTAATCGATTCATTGTGAGAGCTCTAATTCATTGTATGCTGTTTTTGCATAAAAACAGGTCAGGCTGCAACTAAATATAATTGTAATGATTGATTAATATGTCGATTATTTTGTGAACCAGATAAAGGTATTTTCATTTCTATAACAAGATTTAAAATACAGACATGATTCCAAATTGACAATGCAGAAAATGCAGAACTCCGAATATTTACTGCTTAGAAGCTGAAGTCAGAGCATTGAGGCAGTTTTAATTAAAAAAAAAAAGGTTTCTCAAGAATTAATCAATTATCAAAACAAATTTCTGATGATCACTTATTTGTCAAATAATCGTTTCATCTCTGCACCTCGAAAGATGTTTTTATTCAGCTCTTAAAGATAGTCATTTCCCCCCAAAAACCAAAAGTGAGTTTTTCTTTTTGCCATTTTTGTCAACACATTTGTTGCGCTAAATCCAGCACATGGATCATTTAAAATTCAGTCACGTGCCCCAACGCCAAAAAACAAATGCCTCTCAAGAAAATCAACTCACGGGTGTCCTTTAAAAGAAGGCTGCGAGTTTAATTCCTCCAGCGAGTGGCAAAATGAGACCGTCTCAAAGTGGAGGAGGAAACAAAAACAAAAAACAAACATAGCAATCGGCAAGGTCACGTGTTACTACGACGACAACGGCCACAGCCAGGTCGGCAGCCAATCAGAGCGCGCGAGCTCGGCGGAGGGGCGGGGGCTGCAGAGAGAGAGAGAGAGAGAGAGAGAGAGAGAGAGAGAGAGAGAACGACTGAGTGAGAGTGGGTTGTGGATGTAGGGGGCGGGGGGCGACGTTAGCAGAGAGCGGAGGTGGTGTAGTTTGCTAAAGAGGAAAGCGGGGGGCTCGAAGGGAAGCCAGAAGGGGCGACATGACACCGACACCCGGCCGAACCACGCAGGCCGCGCCATGCGAGCCCCCGACGCGGGCATGACGACGTCGGCTTCATGGTGACCGCCGCAGCTGCTCTCGCTGGCTCCACAAGCTTCTCGACCGCAACTTGGCCGCAGAGGGTCCGCGGGGAAACATGGCCGAAGGTTCCCCCACGACACTTATTTCCTCCACATTTTGTCAAACCGACTAACGTGAACGAATTGATTTTGGAGATGTACAAAAGTGCCCACTCGCGTGTTCGTTTTTTTTTTTTTTTTCATCTACGTGCGCGTTCGCGTTTGAACGAGCGCGCTAAAGTGTGCGTTCGCGGTCCAGTAAAGCACGTCCACCATGTGTATAGGACACCTGCCTTTCGGACCAGCACCTCCCAGAACTCCCCGGAAGGAATACGAACACCGTGTGCAAAACAAGCGAGTAACTTTTCACGAGGCCGTTTGCTCAAACCTAGTACTTTACGCACTGTTTTATTGAAGATAAACGTCCTACCTTCGGGAATTACGACCGGCCGTGAACCTCTCTCGACCTCCTCATCTCCAGTTAATTAAAATGACTCACTTTCTCTCTGCTTTTTTTTTTTTATCCCAGGGGGACCCGCCAGGTCCACTGAGCAGGAGGAGCGGACTCGACCCCACGTCCGCTCGGGATCGGGCTTCTGCAAATGGTTCAACGTCCGCATGGGCTTTGGATTTATCTCCATGACCAGCAGCGAGGGGACCCCCGTCGACCCCCCCCTGGATGTTTTCGTGCACCAAGTAGGTGGCCACACACACACACACACACACACACACACACACACACACACACACACACACACACACCGTGGCGGTCTCAAGATCATAATAGCATTTACTACAAGCTCAGATGGTTTGCATCAGGCAAACGTGTGATGTGATCACGCGTTGTCCACTGGCCTGTGGAGAAAAAAAAAAAAAGAAAAGAGACAAAACACGCCTTATTTCCTCTCCTGGCCACATGCTGCAAGTGTAGTTTCCTCCTCCTCCTCCTCCGCCTGCCTGCAGAGGGAGGGGAAAGTGTCTCCCTCTTGGCCCCACAGGGTTCCCACGGGTGCTTGAAATTCTTGGAAATGCTTGAATTTCAATGTTGGAATTTTTGAAGGAAAGAATAGTCTCGGAGCTGGAATGAGTGCTTTTGACTTGGCTACGACGCAGACGTTGAATGTCGTACATGGTAATAAAACGGTCTATAAAACGTGTAAAATGTTTTTGTTTAATTTCTACGCCTCTTTGCTGTTTGAAAAAGATAAATTTGCTTATGTCCATTACCATCTTCTTTCATTTGATTGTGGGGGGGGGGGGGGTCATTGGTGAAAAGATGCCCCCTCTGCAAATTTCCCCAGACTGCAAATTTCCCAAGTGTGGGACAAATGAAGGTTATGTTTATAATGCTGCTTTATGGTGTTTAAAAAGTGCAAAATGAAGCTGCTTGGGGAAAAAAAAGCATTTTGAGTGGAGTAAATCTGATGAGGGTGCTGGAAAAGCTTGCAAGTTGGCGTTAAAGGCACAACAAACTGTTTGGAAAGGTGGATGAAACCGCATTTGCATCATAGCATTTTATTGGTTTTTTTTTTTTGTTTTTTTTTAATGACACGTGAAAGGAATCATTTCAAGTCGGTGTACAATCGGAAAATATGGTCGGTTTGCAACAGCTGTATGGTGCAGGGAAAGCTTGAATTTGACTTTTCAAAGAAAGTATGAAGCATTTAGTTGGTGTTTCCTTGTGGTATCATTGATTATTTTGTAGATATGTCGGATTAAAAAAAAAAGGTAATTTCCATCCCTTTTTTTCCAAAAACAGGACTCTCTTTGAAAATGGTCTGCAGAAAACGAAAATACATAAATTGGTTCGGATTCAGTTACGTGTTTGATTCGTGACAATCGTCAGAAAATCGGCGAAACGTTGTTTAAAATTTGTCTGGAGTAAAAGCGGACGTTGGCAAAATGTCTTAACTGTGAGCAATCACTTCCTGGTTTGGACCGTAACATGTCAGAAAATAGGCACAAAAATGTCGCTCGCTGTTTTCCAAAGGTTTTATTTTGATTCGCTACGAAGACGATCAGTCCGCTTTCATGGAGCCCAAAAAGGAATCAAGTCCTGTTAGGAAGCTGAAATTCCGAGCAGACGGACAATTTTAAATGACAAATGTATCCAAACGATTCATCGCTTATGAAAAATAGGAATCGTTGCACCTCGAATTGGATTTTTTTTTCACTTGTAGCTTTCCTTTTTTTTTTTTTTCTTTTCAGTCTTAGCGCATCCTCTCCCCTCTGTTAAATTGCCCCTTTTACAACCTCGTTTTGAAAGCGCAAACGAGAAAAGGAAGGCGAAAGGATCCTGAGAGGCAGTTTCGCCATTTCCTTTTCATTTGCCCGACTTCTTTTTTTTTTGGTGGGGGGGGGTGTTTCACGGGTGCGGGAAGCCGCACTGTTGCATCAGCATCATCATCATCATCTCATGCCACTTGCGAGTCAAATCCAGCGCGATGCATCCAGCGTCAAATCACACGTTTTGTAACGGCGAAGCAGCAGGGCCTGTAGGATCCTGCGTCAGCATAAATGCTGTTGTTGTTGTTGTTGTTGGTGGGGGGTGGCCAGCGGCCGCCTTTCGCTTTCACGCGGCGCAGGTCCTCCTAATGGAGCGCGTGGCTAAAAATAGAAGGCGGGCCCGGCGAGAGAAGCACGTCGTTTGCATTCATGTATGCCATCTGCCCCATTTGCTTGCGTTTCCGTGTTCCATGATGTTCGTTTAAATAGTACCCGGCGTGGGATTTATGTGGGCGGCAACTTTGTATTTATTTATGTATTTATTTATTTATCGACAGGGGGAGTTGGGGGCTGTCGTTTTAATGAATACAAATACGCGGAAAATATGTGTGGTTTTAGCTCTCGTAATGTAAGAATTGACGGAGGACATATTAGGTACACTTGCACAATTAATTATCTTTTTTTTTTTCCCCCCTCCATGGGCCAAGCTTAATTTATGGGAAAATATGATGGAACAAGTGCTAATTGTTAAAAATTAAAATTGCAAAGTGGGTAGGATAATTTTCTTTAAAACATGTTTTTTTTGTTTTTTTTTGATTGGTTTGTTATATTTGTATTTTCTTCATGTGGCCATTTTGTAGTTTCATTTTTATTTCAACATTCTGCTTCATTCTGGAGGAACCTGTGCAAATGTTCTGTCCCAAACAAAAAGCCAGTCTGCACCAAAAATGTAGTGGGGTCCCCATCGGCCCATGAACCCGCTCCCCGCCTCCCCCCACCCTTTTACAAAGTCTTGTAAATTGGATATTGATTGAATTGATTGAGCACAGAAACCGCAACCCACCAAAAATAATTAGCTGGGAAATATCTGGCAATTACAAATCACCCTGGCACACTTGTCGAGTACTTGATAATATTTAATTATTATTATTTTTTTAATATAGAAAATCATATTTGACATAACTTCGCATGCTGTTTATATTCATTTCGAGCGTGTGTTATTTTCATATGCTGGCAGCAGCTACAATGTGATTAGTAATTGTCTTGGGAAAGGAAAAAAACGGTTGCTGAGGCAGGAAGGAGGTGGGGAAAAAGAGGTGGGGGAAGAAAAGATGAGTGTGTGTGTGTGTGTCTCAGAGAGCGGGAGGTCTTTTCATCGGGAGCTCTTCTATCTGATCACTTCCTTTTAGGTGTGCGAGTGCGTGTGTGTGACCTCCTGCAGGAACGTGAAGGGGTGCACACTCTCCTTCGGAATTCTTTAGGAGGGAAAAGGGAATTTCTTTCGACAAAAAGGCGGGGGTGGGGTGTGTGTGTGTGTGTGTGTGTGCTGAGGTAAAGGGCTATGTGTTTTGGAGCTGGGGGGGATGGTGCGTGCATGCGCGCACGTACGTACTTCTAACCAGGATGCGCTGGAAGTGTCGGTAGCCGACTCGGGTTTTTGCGCGTGCGCTTGCGTGCACCGCAGAGAGTGCCCCAAACTGCGTTTTGTGCCGTGAGGTTAAAGTGGGGGGCCCCGAGTGAGATTAACCTCTGGTTCATGTCACCGTTTGGCATGCAGGCCCCGCCCCCTTTTCCCTCCTCCAGAAAGCCAGTGGCGGGTTTTGTATCTCACCCAGGGCTGCGCCGCCCCTCTTCTCGTGGGGCCTAAGGAGAAAGACGTAGTCAGGTGATCTCCATGAGAATTTTGTCGCTTTTTTTTTTTTTTTTTTTTTTTTTTTAATGGATGTCATGTGTACGTAGAGGTTTCAAAAAAAACAAGGCCGATGCCGTTATGCATAAAATAATCGCTGTTGATAATCAGCCCGGCCGATAATCAGTCCATCACCGGTTTTGAGTCGTTTGTTAACTTCTCAACAATAAATAATCGTCTCTGATTTGCGTAGCCCTCCATGAAAGCAGAGCGCTCATTGTTGCATTTCTCCAAAATAAGATTCCAGCATAAGCTTTTACTTAGGTCAGCATTTTTGCCCATTTTCTGACAAGTTCCACACCAGGCGCTGCACGGTCCATTTCCAATAATGTCCTAATTTTGAATCCGAAAGGGATGGTAATTAAAACTTTTCAGAATTCGATCCGTCGCCGAATCAACCAAATCACTGACGGATTCATCCGTGAGTCAAATAACGAATTGCCGTGCCCGAGTTGCAAACCGATGCTGACGCTGCAGCCGCTGGATGTTGTTGATTTGAGGCTTTTGAAGGGTCGGATTGGAGGGAGGGGGGGTTTGGGGGGGTTGGGCCAGCTTCAGGGGTCACCCACACTAATGACAATGTGCCGCGGCTTCTTAAGGGCGGCTTTGTGGGTGGGATTTTCTACCGCTTGTGCGAAAAGCCGCAAACCGTCACCGTCCCCGTCGCTGAATGCACGCCTTCGCCGGCTGTCCGCTGAATCCACGCGTCGGCGGTGGCCGTGGAAGGAGAGCGACGACGACGGCGGCGGCGGGGGTAATGGCGGTCATCTCCGCTTCCACATCAACCCCCCTCACCTTACCGCTTCCTGTATTGATTGGCAGCTCCGGTGATGACGAGGGCCCGGCTGGTGAAAAGGACGGCTATTTCTAGCCCGGCGTGCCGGAGCCTGTTATCGATCGCTGCGCGCTTCTTCCCACACGCGCGCACACGGATGGAGGTCAAAATGCACAGCTTTGCATTTATTTGAGAACGACAGAATGCACCGCGCGCTATCGGCTGTCTTTCTTTCATTTCATTTCCAAGAAGCTGCTGGTGTGGTCTGGTGGTGGTGGTGGGGGGTGGTGGACAGGGGTTGGGTTTTTACAGGCTTCTGGCTTTTGACCTTCTGATCAAATGGGGGCGGGGTTGTTCCCCCCAGGCTCAAGAACCGCCCCCCCCCCCCTCACCCAGTCCACCCTCACTAGCGCTGATCAGAAGTTGCTCCTCCGCTGGAGCCGATCAGAATGCTCCGGAAGGCGTTCCATGAGCGCCCTCCTCCACACTCGCCTCCGCTGCGGTTTGCGGGCCACTCCTGTGCCCCCTCCTCCCCCTCACTCTTTCGTTGACCTCTGCGCGTCAACTTCCATGACACCCACCAGGTCGTTTCAGAGGACGGCACTGGAGTTGCTGGCTAGGTGTTGATTTCTTGTTTTTTCAATTTCCCCTCCCCACATGTGACCAATCAGGAAGACGTAACACAAGCTTGTATGCTCAGACCTCCACCAGGGAAGTCATTTTCTGGGGATAAAATCCATTATGAACTTGATCAACCTTTATCTCAAAATAGAAACAGAGCCCGATGTGTTTTTTTTCCCCACTTTTGGTGCAGTTTTCCATTCATCCACGTTTGGTCGCGCCCGGCTAGCTAGCGCTAAGCTAAGATCACCGTCTCTCCGGTCCCCTCTCGACTCTCTACCCCCTCCTCGCTCCCTCCCTTCCCTCATTCATCTTCATTTAAAATGTCAGGCATAGGCAAGGAGCCGCGTGAATGTATATCGATTTTGGCCATCCGTATCAGTCACGGGGCCTCGGGTGCCATTGCAGTCAGCACAAACTGGAAGAAGAGCTCCTCTCCACATCCTGTGTCGCGGCGCTGCGGCGGCCGTGCGTCGCCGCTGAACAAAAGCACTTGTGTGGCTTCCTCAGTGCTGCTGCGTTGTGGAAATTGCTCGCGGTTGGGATGGGAGTGGGGGGGTGCTGCTGTTTTATGGCTGTCGGGGGAGGGCGGTGGCAAACCACTGAACTTTGACCCGGAGACGACCATGAAAGAAAAAAAAAAGGTTGCTTTGAAAGAATTTTTAGATATCGAGCAGAGAGGCCAAAAGAGCTTTGAATATAAATGATTTTTCTCTCCCGCCATACAGGTGAAGTTACACGAACAAAGCATCCATCGAGGACCCTTTACTGATGTATAGTGTACCGTCGTCATGGTAACTGCCATAGTGGAGGAACACCGCAGAGCATATTTTTCTCTTCTGTTTTTTTTTTTTTTTTTACATTGGACATCACCATCTCCCTTTAGTCATATTTTTCTCTTCTGTCACACACACACACACACGCTCGCACACACACACACGCTCGCACACACACAGCAGGGGCCTGCAAAGAGGCATCGCGCGCGTTTACCGGCAGCGCCGCGGCTGGCCAAGGTCACAGATGCCGGGGCCCCCTTTTATATCAGCCGCCTGTTGTGTGCCATCAGGAGGACCCGAATCATTGTTCGGCGGTTTCGGCGGTGACTAAATCAATCGGCGGGCAATCATGCAGATAGAACGGGTGGTGCGTATAATTCACGGGAGAGCATTTATTAAATGGCCGCCGCCTCCTCCTCTTCCTCCCAGGGGGGACGGACAAGGAAGCCGTCTCGCTGCAAAAAGCAGATAAATGTAATACTGCGGGCTCGTGTGAGATAAGGCCGTGGCAGTTGATCCAAAGTTTATGTCATCGAGGAGCCTCGTCGTTAAGTTTCGTAAGATTTCGGCCTGAAACTCTTTCAATGGTCAAAATGAAGGCACGTTTTGGCGCTTGGTTGAATAAGCCGCTCTTGTTCTCTTGGCTTTGCCTTGGACTATCTGAAGCTGATTCCTGCGTGCAAATGCTTTTGTGAAGCACATTGAGTTGCCTTGCGTATGAAATGGGCAATTTCAAATGAACACGTTGGCCTCGCCGCGCCTAATTGTACTCGAAAGCCGCGTTGTCCGACATTCATTGAGTCCTAGGCGCTCTTCTGCCCTCTCGCTGCATTTCTTTGCCCTGCCTATTTAAAAAAAAACAAAAAAAAAAACTGTTTCCCCCGAATGCCCATTGTTAACCTTTTGAAGGCGTCGTCTCACGCTTTTTTTTTGTCCCTTAGAGCAAGCTGGTGATGGAGGGCTTCCGAAGCTTAAAGGAGGGCGTGCCAGTGGAGTTCACCTACAAAAAGTCCTGCAAGGGCCTGGAGTCCCTGCGGGTGACCGGACCGGGCGGCGGACCCTGCGCTGGCAGCGAGAGGAGGCCCAAAGGGAAGGTGCCGCTCCAGAAGCGCAAACCAAAAGGAGACCGGTCAGTAATTAACGCAAGTGTACCTGAGAAGCTGTGGTAACCGCTGTCCCTGAAAGGGTTGATGTCCATCGCACTGTTCTGTGGAAGAACTCGCTTCATTCTACATGACTGAATTATTCAGCCTACTTGGGGACAGCTGATCCAGTGTCAGTGGTCAAGTGACCGAGGACAGTGGGTGACCTCATCCTGGTCACTTATGAGCCGTAATGCTCGTTGGGCCCCCTGCTGGCCGTTGTCTTTAAAAAATAAAAAAAATAAAAAATCTATCCAGACGAAATCAGGAAGTGACAAAGGTAGAAAATGTGGTGTTGCGGCTTCAAGCAGCTCACGTCGCTGACAAGATTTCGGAATGAGTCTGCTCCCATGAAAATGGCCTATGGCAAATTAGAGGCATGGAATTCCCCAAATTAAGCAGCACGGAATCGTCTCATGCCGTCTCTCGTCGATCAATTAGTTTTTTCTCGTCAAAAAAAATCACTAATGTAGAGGTGAAGATCACACTCCTGGCACCATTTTACCGTATTTTCCGCAGTAAAAGGCGCACCGAAAAGTCTTCAGTTTTCTTAAAAGCTCACAGCGCTCGTTAAAATCCGGTGTGTCTTGTGTATGGTCATTACGGTAATATGTCGACCCCAAGATGGCTCCTTGCTGGAGACATGCTTACAATGTTAGAACTTGCTGTTGGTTCAGTGAACTGTGTCGCTGCTTTATTAAGTACATTTTTGTTGCAGCTCCAAAAAAAAGAGCTGTGGTGTTGTTGTTTTTTTAAAACGTACACTTTATTAATGGTTTTCACAGTCTCAACAAATACAGCTACGTCTTTGTCCCGTCTCCGTGCCTTCTCTTCTTCCGTTCGATTCGAGAGGCGTTCATGCCCGCCTCCGAAAAAGGTCAATTCACGATTCCTTCAATGAAACGACGAAAATTGAAAATAATGCATCAAAACAGATAATCAAGCCAGGAAATCACAAAATAAATTCTATAACCCCACTACAGAATTTATTTTGTGATTTCCTCCTTTGTGAATACACAACAAAGGAATAAATAACAAACACTTGTGAGACAGTCCAGTCTCCTATATTTTACTGACATCTGATCGTTCGCTTAATGAAATGCCAAAATAAATTCTGTAGTGGGGTTATAGAATTTATTTTGGGATTTCCTCGCTTGATTTTCCGTTTTGATGCATTATTTTCAATTTTCGTTGTTTCATTGAAGTAATCGTTAATTTACGTTTTTCGGAGGCGGTCATGAACGCCTCTCGAGTTGAACGGAATAGTGGATGCATTGTAGATTGCGTTTTATAATCCAGTGCGTCCATTATATGACAAAAATTACAAAATAGGCCATTCATTGAAAGTGCGCCTTGTAATCCAGTGCGCCTTTTAGTGCGGAAAATACGGTAATATTGCAGAACTCATTTATACAGGGGTGTGTTGACTTTTCCCATCCAGTGTTTGCATCATGTTTCCATCAGGACCAAAAAGAACAAACACACCAAAAGAAAAAAGAGAGAAAATCAATGTGGAGATGAAAGTCGTTGGGTTTGTTGTGTTGCACTGCCTTGTCTTCCCTACGCACTCCGATGTTTATAAAATTGTACCAAAAGCAGCTTTGGCCTGCCTTGTACTGAAGAAATCCTCCTCAGGTGTTTTTTTTTTTTTTTTTCCCCCTTCCCTCACCTGCAGAGACACCAGTCAGTCCGATTGAACCGCAAACATATTCGTTTGAGGTTTTGGAAGGTTCTGCATTGCCCCGACTTGTCAGGCAGCCTTGCTTTGGTTGATGAATGATTTGATTTGCGGCCATACATTTTCTCAACGTCTTTTCACTTGATGTTCCAGTTCACTGGAAAATCCTGTTGTCATACTGCCATCCAGTGGCGAATTGTAGTTATTGCACGTGCAGAGGTTTTCCAAGCTCGACTGGGCCGAGATCCCCGTTTCACATCGGAACGTCGGTGTCAAACGCGTGTTTTGCATCTCGTCTTCATGATCCGTCTTGGTTCGCCGCCTTTTGCAGCTGTTACAACTGTGGAGGTCTGGACCATCACGCGAAGGAGTGTAGCCTGCCCCCCCAGCCAAAGAAATGCCACTACTGCCAGAGCATCACGCACATGGTGGCCCAATGCCCCCACAAGGCGCTGGCGCCCCCCGCGGGCTCTCAGGACCAACACGCGTCTACCTCGGCCTCCAGCCCGGGGTCCTCGGCCTACCTCGGCCCCCCAGAGGATGAGGATCGCCGCGGCGCCTCTCCCTTGGGGGGCTCGTCCTCATCCCCGGAAGAGCCCAACAGTCAGCGCGGTCCCCGGACCCGCAGGTGGAGGAAATCCTAGAAAGACCCTCGTCCTCGACTCCTCCCCTCGCTTCATCTACCTCACGCCTGTGACAAAATGGGAGGGCTTCATTTCGACAACTTTTTACGCGTGTCTTATGTTATTGTCCACCCATGCAGCTACGGCAACCACCCGACGGGTGCGGACGTGTGGGCCTACCTTGCGGCCGTGGCGGTCGGTGCTGCGGGACGTCGACCGCAAGGGGGCTGATCTGGCATTCAATCAGTGCAGCTCAGGAGGCAAAACATGCACGGATCATGGTTTGATTTGCTCTTTCCTCCTTACACATCTCAGTGTTATTTTTACATTTTTATTAAGATTATCTTTTTTTTTTTTTTTTTAAACAATGTAATCATGCCCAATTTCTCCATTTTTAAGCACATATTTTAATCAGGGTTTTAGGGGAGGATGTTTAAATTGTCGCAACTTGTAAACTATCGTCCGCACACGAATGCTCTCTGCAACTGTCCCCCCCCCCCCTCCCCCCCAAAAAACGCTACTACCACATTTTGGATTGACAAACGAGTTTCTATACTCACCCGCCCCACAACATTGCGTCGACGTGCGCAATCTAATAAGGTCTGATACAAGACACTTTTCAGAAAAGACGATATTCGGGAACCACAGTTTGGACTTTCACAAATTTGCCGATCATTTTGGGGATAACTTCCCCATTTGTTGAAAATATGCACTGTGCAAAAATGGGGACAGATGGAAAATGCTTTACCGTTATTTTACGCACGATAAGGCGCTTCAGAGTATCAGGCCCACCTTCATTGAATGTCCTATTTCAGAACTCTTGTCCGCCTGTGCCTCGCCGCTTTCTAGCTCGTGACCTCGGCGCACTCCTCCGACCATATTGAATGTGAAATAAGCAACACACCGCGCCTCCCCGAGTCGAGTTACAGCTTTTGTCCAATCAAACCACTATGACGACGCTCACGCCAGCGCCCGGTTGTGTGTCGTTAACGCCAACCACCAACAAACTGCGTAATTCCTCGCAAAATAGCGGCAAGTAGTGGCCGCGTCGGAGGCGCCGGCTGCGCCATCGGCTTGAATAAAACGAACGCCTTACCTCAAATAGGTGCCTCATTTTCTCCGTTCTCCCGTTAGGTCAGGTTTTTCCCAACTTGGAATTTCAGCGGAAGACAAGTCAAAAAAATTGTTTTTTTTTTTTTGCAATGAAATGTTGCAAACACGGAATCAGGAAATAATTTGTAGAAAAGGCGTTGAAGACTAATCCAGGCATTTTCGGACATCTTAAGGAGGCTGACATTTGATGTTGTGACGCCCCCTAAACCGTCGACTGAAACTGGCATCAAAGTGCCCGGCTGGGCTTTCCTCGCAAATGTCACATGACCAAACCCAGGAAAGACGCCATCTTGTTGCGATGAAAATTGACCAAAGTCAGTCGATAATTTCTGCGAATTTGGATCATGCCAAACGGCACTGGAGACAGTTTTTGAGCTCGCAATATAAAGGGGGAAAAAAAAACGGACCACTGTGCTCCGATATAATCATAAAAGGAACTATATGAGGAAATTTATTCCGAAGTATTTGTATCCCAAAGAGTTTGGCTTTATTCTATGTCGAAGGCCTTTCAAATCAAATGATTTGTCAAAGGGCTCTCTAACCTTTCTCGTTGAGGATTTTTATTTTATTTATTTTTTTTAATGTCCAACTGTTATTTTGAATGTACGCCTCATGATATCAATGCAAAGTACCGATGAATGACAAAACCACGCAAAGAACAGCCTGTGCTCACGTGTGGCTGCCATCCACCTCCTTTTTTTTTTTTTTTTCCTTTCTCTGGGTGTGTAATGTACATTCATTTGATCTGAATTTGTACCTTTTGTTTTTTTATCACATTACTCTTCTCTCAGGATGATGAAATGTTCTCAGGGAATTTAACCTCCAACAATTGTATTGTTTTAGGAATCATCCACTCAACAGATAGGAGAGATGGAAGGAATTGGTTTGTGTACCGATATCGTGATCTACCTCTTGACTTTCTGTTTGTCCACTTTTTTTTTTTTTTTTCCTCACCTGTTGGTTCCTGCCACAGACTCCAAAATCTTCCTTTCACATGCGTTTGGTTTGTTTGGATTCGTTTAGAGCAAGATACCTACCTCATCTGTTCAACTTAGTTTTTTTTTTTGGGTTGTTTTTTTTTCTTTGACTAACCCTCCTCTGTGGAACAACTCCTGACCTCCCATATCTACCTCCTCCTTCCGTTTGTCACGCAGTAGCTGGATTCGGCGAAAGGCGTTGGTCTTGCCGCGTTTTGGAATGACGGCGTTTGATCAGAACGCAGAGTGCCTGTCTTTGACCAAATAAATAATTGCGCTGCCGTTGGTACCAGATGCTTTATTATTATTATTATTTTTTTTTTTAAAGAGCTGATGATAATCAGATGATGCGCCCTTTTTGTGTAGCGCTCATTTTTAGTTTTTATTTTTAATATACCGTAGGCGTTACAAAGTGACTGTTCGTTCGAAAGTCGAGATTTTCTTAGTACAAGAATTCTTTCTGACGTTCCATGAGATGAATATAAAAAAGTGACCAGAATGAAATATAATAGGTGACAGAACCTACGCGGGCAAATTTTGCTTCAGTTGAACAACGGGTGTTATTTCAGCACTCTCATTGGTCAAAGAATCCAAACATTTGGGGCCCGAATTTTCATAGACAGGCGCCGCGTGTGCTCAATGTAAGAACCAGCGCATCTTCATTTAGTGCAGGGGGCAAGTTTGTTGACTGTGTTTGAGGAATTTGGCGTTACAACACTGAGGATGTTTTTTTTTTTTTTTTTTTTTTAAAAGATACAATTTGGTGACAGAAAGTAGACTAGACTTCATATGTAATGATTCATCAAAAATAAATGTAAACTGCTTAAAGTATGCATCAATGTAAAAAAAAAAATAAAAATCTATATTGAAATTTTGATCACACCAGGAGTTGTATTGATAACAATCAAAACTATTGATGATTTATTTTCATGTTCGGTTCTGGCACAAACGCTGAGCATTCAGATTTTGGAACTCGGTGCATACGCAAGGTAACCGCTATTCGGCGCACCACCCACCATCCATTTTGGAGAAAATGTCGGACTTTTATGTCTGACGGTCGTGAAAAATACGGTAAAGCTTTGCTTTGATCGACCGTGACTCAAGTCGGCCGCGTTCACTCCCACAGCGGCGCAGACGCCCACTTCAAAGTGCACCTGTCGAAGAAAATGTAGCGAAGAAAGAAAACATCACCCTGTGCACAGTTAGACTGTGGTCACTTGCGCTGAGCTTGCTTGAACGCCTTGGGGGGGAAAAAAAAGATCTTGTGTAACTTTTTGGCTTAGTTTTCCAATCACTGTAACTACTGATTGATCTTTATGATTTATGAACGCAACGTTTAAAGCACAGCCCTGAAGCCCTGATGGAACGATGCAGCTGAGTAAAAATTGCACGAATGTTTTCAAGGGGTTTCAAGCGTACAAATTGTTCAGGTTTTCGTTCCAGATTTCCCCTGACGAGGTGTGCTGCAGTTTTGCTTTTCCATGCGCTGAACCAACAGCGGTGAAACGAATCACTCGACGTACGTATTCTTGCTGAATGTGACATCACATCATGTCATGAAATATTGACGTGATCTTTTGACAGAGCGGCAAAGTTGACACGCAACTCAGTAACTCGATTAGCTAACCTTAGCACAACTGCTGGAAAAATAAAATCAATGCCAAGTTCATTATTGACTGCAATAATTTTTTTTGGGGGGGAGGGCATTGTATATGTGATTTGTGCGTTATGTCAAGATGTTAATGTCAAGGCAGTGGTTTTACTTTTTTAGGCTTGTGTTAACACCAACCAAAGCTGATACTGGTTTGCTATACTGAACGGTGTTGATTTTCTCGCTCAAAAGACCGATGCGTGTTGATTTACCTTCGTGGACCTCAACTGCGGCTTTACCGTCACAGAAAACAATAAATCGAATGTGTGCAGTTGGTTTCTCATTGTGATGGTCGCATTATGTCTCTGTACATGAAATCATCCTGAAAGCTGTGTCGTCAAATAATTCCGATGGGGGCATACAACGAATGGACAGTGTCCCTCCTCATTCGTACAAATAACCTAATTTTTGTGTGTGTGTGTGTGTTTGTGTTTTAAACGTGACAATGCCAGTGAGTCCTGTGGGCTCTTTTCTGTTGGAAGACGTTGAAGCACTGATCGAGTGTTATTTGTATGCAGATGACTTATTTCAACCCTGAGTGTAAGCGCACTGCCTTTATTTTATTTCTGTAAATCTTGGATTAGATTTTGAAATGTTTTTAAATGTCTGAAATTTTTGACTTAATTGGGAAATAAACAGATTGTTTTGTCTGTTTGTCCTCATGCCAGGTGGAGCTGGCCACGAGGGGGTGGAATGGCCTACGGGTTTGCAAGCGAATCTCATTGACGCAAACACTTTTCGTGGCAGTGAGCATTGACTGTCAAACTAAATGGAAAAAAATGTCACTAACACGTATTTAAAACAAAGATAGTATTGAAGGTAACTAGCTGAATTCTAAGACACAATTGGAAAATTCTCCAACCCGTCAAAGAAAAAAAAATAGCATCTACGTGACCAGAGTGCAGCAAAACCTGTAAACAGACAATATTCACTTCACCGAGAAAAACGACCATGTATAGTATGGCGTTTTTAGCCGAAGAAAGACGAAAAAAAATGACCACGTATAATAAGGCGTTTTTAGTCCCCCCCAAAAAATGACCACAGAGAGTAAGGCGTTTTTAGCAGAAGAAAATGACCATGTAGTAAGGTGTTTTGGGCCGAAAAAAACCCGACCATGTATAGTAAGGTGTTTTTAGCCGAAAAAATAGCCGACAAAAACGACCATGAATAGTAAGGAGTTTATAGCGCTCCAAAAACGACCATATGTAGTAAGGGGTTTTAAGCCCCCCCCCCAAAAAAAAAGACCATGAAAAAAAAACGACTATATATGGTGAGACGTGTTTAGCAGAAAAAAAAAGTGTGTTTTTAGCCGGAAAAAAACGACCTATCTATCGTAAGGCATTTTTTAGCCCCCCAAAAAGGACCATGTGGATGTAGTAAGGCGTTTTTAGCCGAAAAAAATAGCCGACAAAAACGACCATTTATAGTAAGGCGTTTTTAGCCGAAAAAAACGACCATGTATAGAAAGGCGTTTTTAGCCCAAAAAACGACCATGTAAAGAAAGGCGTTTTTAGCCGAAAAAATAACCATGTACAGTTACGCCTTTTTAACCGAGAAAAATTGCCGACAAAAACGACCATGTATAGTAAGGTGTTTTTAGCCGAAAAAATAACCATGTATAGTCAGGCATTTTTAGCCCAAAAAAAGGACCATGTATAGTAAGGCGTTTTTAGCCCGAAAAAAAACGACCATGTATAGAAACGTATTTTTAGCCCGAAAAAAACGACAAAAGTATAGTAAGGCGTTTTTAGCCAAAAAAAAAAACGACATAGTATAGTAAGGCGTTTTTAGCCCGATAAAAATGACACAGTATAGTAAGGTGTTTTTTGCCGAAAAAAAACGACAGGATAGGAAGGCGTTTTGAGCCCGAAAAAAACGACCATGTATATAGTAAGGCATTTGTAGCCCAAAAAAAAAAACGACATAGGATAGTAAGGCGTTTTTAGCCGAAAAAAACGACATCGGATAGTAAGGCGTTTTTAGCCCGAAAAAAAACGACATAGTATAGTAAGGTGTTTTTAGCCCGATAAAAATGACATCGTATAGTAAAGTGTTTTTAGCCCGAAAAAAACGACATAGTATATATAGTAAGGCGTTTTTTGCCGAAAAAAACGACCATGTATATAGTAAGGCGTTTTTAGCCGAAAAAAACGACCATGTATAGTAAGGGGGTTTTTGCCGAAAAAAAACGAGACAGTAAAGGCGTTTTGAGCCCGAAAAAAACGACATAGTATATATAGTATATCGTAAGGTGTTTTTTGCCGAAAAAAAACGAACATGAACATAGTAAGGCGTTTTTAGCCCAAAAAAAATAACCATGTATAGTAAGGCATTTTTAGCCCAAAAAAAGACATCGTATAGTAAGGCGTTTTTCCCCCGAAAAAAAACGACATAGTATATAGTAAGGCGT